CCTTGCGTAATAAATGAAACATAGATAGACATTCTTCTGGTATTCCCAGCTTTCAGCTAAGATCCATCTAACATCAGCTTCAGTATCCCTAGCCGATCAAAATGGGTAACATCGTCTCTTCATGGAGATACATATGTCATCAGCAAAAGAAAGGTCTAGAGAATTTTAGAGGAAATCCTGCCATAAAGTTTTGTTTAACTCAGTACTTTCCACATTTATTAGAGCACAGCACTTATTTTCATTTTTATCCGATCCCTATTTATATTCTTTGAAATGTGAATTCCACAAAACACATTTAAATAAAAACTAATCAAGAGTAAAACAATGTCTTCAGTTCTTATATATTTACTGAGGAAACATTTTACAATGATGTTGGAGATTTTAGTTTTGATGTGATCTGGTACACAGTAGCATCGCTAGAAGCAACTTTAACAGTATGGCCAATGATGTCACAGTCTTTTAAAAAGTACCATTAGTTGTGTAATCAGCAGAATTATCATTTATGTTGTATCCTTAATGGTTAAATGCTCCGAAATCAGTAGAAAACCCTCAAAGATTAACATGATATCATGTAAACTAACAGAGCAAACAAATTTTTGTGAAAAGCAGGGAATGTGATTTGAACTATGACAAAGCTATAGCATCTGATACAGGCCATGGTCTTTGCAATCACTTGTTATGCATCAGAGAGTTGGACAATGACTAGGGAGGATAGAAGGAGAATTGATGCCTTTGAGCTGTGGTGCTGGAGAAGAGTATTGAATGTACCATGCACTGCAAAGAAAACAAACAGATCCATCCTAGAGAGGGTTAAACCAGGCTACTCCTTGGAGGCAAGGATTCTGGGGCTTCGTCTGACATACTTTGGACATTTTGTAAGGACAGGTCTTTAGAGAGGGACATCATGCTGGGTAGAGTAGAGGGACAGCACAGGAGGGGAAGACACTCTATGAGGTGGATTGATTCAGTGACTGGGATAATCGGGATGGCTGTGTCAGAGGCAATGCGAGTGGCACAGGACAGAGCACGGTTTAGGGCTGTTGTACATAGGGTCACTATCAGTCGCAAACGACTCGACAGCACATAACAACAACAATAGCATCTATGGGATGTGCATTATATATTAAAAAAAGTAAACTAGAGAAATCAATATGGAATCCAGGAGGCAAATGGATTAAATCTTAAAACCAACTAAAGACAATAAGAACATCATAAAATATAATTAAGGAAATACATTAAACTCTTATTTTTCAAGTTAGAAAAGTTAAAATTGGGATCCAGGACATTAGTTGGTTTCTGTGTTACACGGAATTGTAATTACATATTTAGTTACCCAAAATGAAAAACTGCCATTTTAAGTTTATATCTTTGTCACGCAAAAGTAGATTTTATTAATATTTGCAACTACTATGTTGAAAGTTAGGAGTTCTGGTGGTCTTGTGGTAATGAGCTGTGCTGCCAAAGCAAAGGCACTGTTAAAATCCACTAGATACCCTGAGGGAGAAAGATGGGTAATCTGAAAACCTGGTAGAGAGTCAGCTATGAGTTGGTTCCGACTCAACAGCACACAAGAACAACATACTTGAAAATATTGACATAAACAATCCTGCACAAGAAGATTTTTTTTAGAATCTCACTATGGAATTTATTATAATAATATTTCCAGACAAATTATTCAAGTCACAGTGCATCCTTATTAAGCATCCTATTCAAACTTATCTCTTTTCTTTTTTTTTAATTTTTTTCTTTCTTTTCTTTTTTCCCCCACTAGTTTATTTATAAAATTCTACTACAGATTCAAAAAAATTCTTTCAATTTCCCTCACCCCCCACCTATCAAATTGTGCAATCCAATGATTAGTCCCCTCTTCCCCCTGTACATCCACATCCCTCTTCTTCCAGCTTCTCCCACCCCTCCTGGATCCTTATACTCCTTCTGTAAAGATGTAGTACTCCCCATCTCATAAAGTTCCTATGAATTTGAATCAACTTGACAGCGCTGAGTTTTTTGTTTGTTTGAGTTTTGTTTAGTTCTCCCCATAAGGTTTCTAAAGATTTAATATTATATTAATCATATGTACTGGGCATTTTTTTAAGTGTCTGATAAAACTTCATCCAAAGTATTTTTTTGTCGAAGCATGGAAGAGTAAAGAAATTCTTAAAAAACAAAATTGGAAAGAATGCCAACACGTAAACTGTGTCCTCATCTATTGCTGGTGGGAATTTAGAAAGGTGTCGCCACTATGGACAATAGTCGGACAGTTCCTCAAAAAGTTTGACATAAAATTACTATATGACTAAGCAATCTCAGTTCTAGGCCTATGCATGACAGAATTAAATGCAGACAGAAACCTGTAAATTAATGTTTAATAAAGCATTATTCACAATAATTGAAAGGTATGAAAACAACTAAAATATTCATCAACAGATAAATGTATAAACAAAATATAATCCATACAGACAATAAAATACTTCTCAGTCATAAAAGCAAAGGAAGTACTCATGCAAGCCACAACATGTATAAATCTTGAACATATCATCTGAATTAAATAAAGATATAGAAATAAATTTAAGCAGGAGTGTGGCATCCACTTCTGAAACAACATGCTTCTGGAAACTCTGTGAACCTTGGCTATAGGCCTTTTGCTCATAGGGTCGTTATGAGTCATGCATGGCTCAACTGCAATCAACAACAACAACAACAATGAATTAAAGAGTATTAATTCATATCAAAGGTGAGAAGGAAGTGAGAAGTTTTGCCTCAGAGGCATTTAGGTTCTGTTAATTTGGGAAAGGATACTGATAGTGGTTTTACAATTTGAAGAATATAGTCAATGCCACTGAAACACACGTGTAAAAATTGTTGAATTGGCAAATATTTTCCTATGCATATTTTCCACACCTCCCCACACATATACAAAAAGATCTAAACTGTAAGCACCAGCGTAGGATTTGAAATAAAAATCTGTGAAACAAAATACATTATTTGAATATATGTCACGTTACTGTTTAAAAATCAATGGTGCAAAAGTCTTTTTTTTTAAATGAAAAATTGCATAAGGTTCATTCGTTGTACTCAAATTGAAGGTACCTAATGACAACAATATTATTTTTCATGTCTTAAAATATCTCCTGCTTGTCAATATGCAGTGGGGTTGTTAATATATAGAAGTATTACATAAATCCTAGAACAAATTTTCAAGAATTATTAAATTTACAGAGATGTAATAATTTTCCAAGAGTGAGTGAGTAGTTGAAGAACAATAGTAATTTATTATTTTCCAAACTTTTCCTAAACTCACACTCTCATGCATTAAGAAGTATGACATTCAACTACCCAATGTCTCAAGCATAAAATACATTGTAAATCATACTAAAATGTTATGGATTGAAAAAATTTAAGCAAACGTAGTGAATATGCAAAAAAGTTTATACTACCTGTTTTTCTATCAACTTACTGAAAATTTGTTTCAGAATTAAAAGTAAATATCTTCAATTTGAATTAAATATTTATTAAGGTTACAGAAATATTTCATTATCTTTGAAATCCAGACATGTAGAATGACAAAATATAAAGCAGGAAGCCAGTACCTTTTGTTCTCCTTGGAAAATCAAACTTGAAAGCCAGATGTGCAATAAGGTAACTATCCCAGGACTCATCAAGTACGAGTTCTTTTAGGGGCTCTTGATCTAATTTTAAAAAGCAATAAAAATTTATTACTCTTCGTGATCATACTGGAAAAGAAAACATTACCAGATTAAAACATAATTTTAAAAATCTCTAATGTGGAGAGGTAGGAACTCTCATAAATTGTTAGTGAGATTGTAAAATGGTACAACCACTTTGGAAGACAATTTGGCATTTCCTCAAAAATTGAACATAGAAACTCTTATGACCCAGCTATTCCACTATAGGAGTATACCCCCAGGAAGTTAGAACAGAGACACAGAGATCAGTATACCAGTGTTCATAGCAGCATTATTCACCATCACATGAACATGGAAACAGCCCAAATATCCAACCACAATTGAATGGATTGAAAAATTGTGGTACATTCACAAAACGGAATAATACACAACATGTAGGAGAAACTATTTCAAAAATACACTACATAACTTGGGAGAGGTCTCATGAGGACAAACACTGCATAAGACCATTACTGTAAAAATAGAAGGATAACTAGTAAAACATTTATGGGGCCCCAAGGAGGAAATGGGTGGAAGCAGAGGGGTGAGGATGTTTAGGGGTAAAATCACAGGGTTGCAAAATTTGATGGTTGAAGGGACGGGGTGAAGGATCCAGCAGGTACCAGAAAAGACAGGGTAATGATTGGCAAGGTCCAGTGTTGATTCATTTTATAAAACATAATGCATGGAATGATTGTATGAAACACGATGTGAATGAAGACTAGTGTGAAACAAAATGTATACAAATTTTGCAAGCAAACCAATATAAAAT